TTAAAACAGCATCCGACTTCAAAGCAAGAGAGCTCTCCAGATGGAGCTCACCACCCCTGCAATGCYCTGTGCCTCGTCAGGTTCCCTGCATTCACAGGGGGACATTCACAGGAGGAGAATTCCAGAGAAGGGAAGGACAGCGGCCCCCTAAACCCAGGGGCCCCTCCTCGGTGGGATCCGGACACCCTCCCATGCTGGAAAGCAGGGTCTGGGCAGTGCTGTGTTTGCAGTGCAAGGATTTCACCTCTCAGCACTGTTCCTGCAGATTTCCAGCCCAGGGTGTGCAGGCAGACGCTGTGCATGTCACAGGGGTGGCTTTGGTCACCCTGGTGCCACCACAGGAATGTCCCATGGGCCGATGGCTGCTGAGGCTTCACCTTCCCAACCCYCCCTGCATCCCTGTTAGGGCATTTCTCCACATTTCAGCAATATTTCTGCAAAGCTGGCTGGTTTGTTTGTGCCCCCCAGCCCCTCACAGCCCTTGCCCTTCAGCAAAGCCAACACCAATCTCAGATCACCCCAGATCCAACTGCTCCAACCTCCCATCCATGGCCAGTGATTTATTACTGCTCTGCTGCCTGGAGTCCTGACAAAACACTTTTTGGTAATTGCAGGAGGCCAAAAACTGAGAGGATAAATAAACCTGACAATTAATTCAGCTGTTACACATGCACAGAGTGACACATTCCCAGGTCTCTAAAAAACCCAATTCTTCCCAGATGGCACAAAAAGCAGGCAGAGCTCAGCCAGCATGACCACCTCTGCCTCTGCCCCAGCTCCCCTGGGGATCCCAGCACTGGTAAGAGCCAGACATCCATAAAAACTGCCCCATTTCCCTTCCAAGTTACTTACCAGCCTGCCCCATCTCATCTCCTGCCAATATCACAGAGCATACATAATTCCATGGCAAATCCCTAGAACTGATGGATGGCTGTTCACATTTCAATTGTCAGGGTAATGAGTAYAAAATTCTTCCTGCTGCACCAGCTCTCTTGGCCAAAGGCTCTGCTCAGGCTGGGTGCTACCAGTACAGGCGCAGGGCATTTTGGTGGGATTTGTAGCCTTTTTTGAAAAAAATATCCTGCCCTGCTGATGGCTGGGTACCACAGCTGCATCCCACCCCCCTCCATCACCCACAGGGCATCTGCAGCCTCAGRAGGGACTCGCACCCAGGGCAGGGTCTGGGGTGCACAAAGACAGCCTCCACCTACAGCTCTTTTCTCCCTTGTAACTCAACCTGGCCTAGCTAAAACCAAAAAATCTTAATTTTTTCCAAAAGAAAAATAAATCCTCTGTAATCCTAACTAAACACCAACTCACCAGGATGCACCTTCTCACAGTCTATCCAGGGAAAAGGCATCAGGAACATCTTTTATTTTCCCTTTCCCCTCAAAAATCCTGTCTGCCACCCAAAATACGAGTGAGTCTGGATTGCTGACATCTTTTTATTGCTGGTTTTCAAAACCATCTGCTTTTGTCCCACTTCATTTTCATCTCTTTATGTAAGAGCTTTGCAAGTAAATCTAAAGTTTTCCATCATTAAATTCTAAGTGTTGGCCTTGAATTTAGAGTTCTCCCACCTTCWGTTTCTTCAGCATCAGTGTGAATTATTGACCAGGGAGTCGGCTGTCAGCCCCTGTCAGCGTTCAGCCCCTGATGTGAGAGGTTGAACAGCCCAGCTCCTGTTTGTRCTGGTTATTAACTTACTCTAATTGCCTTCACAGTGGCAAAAGCCTTTCCATGAATGTTTTTCAACAAAATCACTGATCTCAGGAGATCTTTGGGCTGATTTTTAAGATCCAGCAGTATCTGCCTAAYRCATCRCAGTGGCAGCTGCTGCTGGAGGAGYGCAGGGAGACTGGAGGARGCAGARTTGGTCAGTGTGGGGAYRTACCTGCAGGCATTTCAGGAGRTTTCTYGGTGAYCCAGATGATCTGGGGTGATCCCTCAGCAGCGTGGAGAAAGAAACCTTTTGGGTATCCCCTGGAGGAAGGCAGGGATACATCCCAGCTGAAATGCTCCCCGTATCATTTGTGTAAAATCCATTCCTGAGCCCCAGGAAATGCAGCAGAAGGCCCYGAAACCACCTGACAGCCAATCAATGGACTAAATTCCATACAGCCATTGTTTTTTCCTCATGCACAGCCATGCCCCTCGGCTCAGGGACCCCCACTCATCTCTCCCCATCTCTCACACACCACCCAGCAGTGTGAAAAGCTCTCCAGCCCAGACCTGGGTACTCCCAGTCCAAGTTATCACATCCCATGGGACAAGTGTTGGAGGTGAAGCAATTYAGACCCACAATTAGATACCAGGGCTTCTGTCTCACTTCTCATTTAGGCTCATTAGCCTCCCCACAAATCTCCTACAGCCCTGGGGTACTCATTGCGCTCTCAGGGCACATGGAAAAATGCTGCCACCAGCCCTTTATCCCCTCAGTCCATTTTACCTTGGACACCCCACCAATGCCAGCACAGGGGTCCCTTAACCCCCACCCCTGTCCAGGTTCACATCTCCCTCACATGCAGGAGCTGCTTTCTGCTGCCGAGGAAGTTTTGGGTTGGGTTGGGTTGGTTTGTTTGTGTTTTTATTGAACCCACAGCACTACAAACCCTGAGAGAGCTGAAACCTCACCAACAYCTCCCAACTCTTGTGCCAGCTCCCGGCACAGCCCCGGGCATTGCTGTGCTTTGGGCTCCTGGGCACGGTGGAGATGAGAGGAAAAGGGGAACTTGGCTATGGGGCTGGCACTGAGGGGTGGGACAGGCTTTTCTCTCTCCACCCTATAGAGAGAGAACATGGCCATGCTGGGGCAGAAAGGGCTCCCCTGCCTGGAGCCCGTGGCCTTTCCCCATGTCCCAGTGCCCGGCTGCAGGGCTGGCACGAGGCGAGGAACCCGAATCCACCCCGGTGCCTCCATCCCGGGCACGCTGCAGGAGCACTGCAGAGCATTTGCAGCAAATTCCCGGGGCAGCAGCTCCATCCCCTCCTGTCGCCCCTCCAGCCCCGTCTGTGGTGCCWCTGTGCCAGCTCTGATCACCTTCCACCGGCACCCGGCGCCTTCCTCGACAGCTGGAGACACCAGGCAGCACACAGTATTGCTACTGTGCCAAGTGGGAACTTTATTCTTTGTTGTGGTTGGCGTTTTTTTTTTTCCTCGATATTTTTCCCAAATCGGTTAAGGAGGTGGCTTTGAAGATGGGCCAGATTTGGATAATTCTTTTTTTTTTTTCCCAGCAAAATCTGCAACATTTTAATAGCGTTTTGCTCAGACATCAGCTCTGTGAGTTTGTACAGCTCAGAGCCACGGAGACACCAGCAGCAGTAACCTGGGAACGGAAAGACTT